GACTGGACTACATGGACTGGTCTTCAGAGACTGGACTACATGGACTGGACTATATGGACTGGTCTTCAGAGACTGGACTACATGGACTGGACTACATGGACTAAATAAAAACATTTAAATCCACTTTTATACTTTTTCAAATATGAATGAAATATCACAATATAACTTGTGAGGATAAGTTAGACCCCAGCGTGGCCCAGGCCCCACCTTCTCCAGTTCTCTGAGGCTGGTGGCGAAGCTGTTGGCGTCGAGTCGACTGAGGGGGCAGCGGGGGGTGAGTCGCGGCGGATAGTGCTGACTGGCGGGACGCAGAGGGACGGGCCGTGGTAAACCTCGCAGGAAGGTGTCTGACAAACATCAAAGATGTGTTAGTTTGACTGGTCACATGACTCATGAAGGACACGTGTGTCAGAGGTCAGAGCGTGCGTGCGTGTGTGTGTGTGTGTGTGTGTGTGTGTGTGTGTGTGTGTGTGTGTGTGTGTGTGTGTGTGTGTGTGTGCGTGTCACCATTGAGGCTCAGACTGTGCTGGATGGTGCTGAGGGAGGGGGGCAGGGCCAGCGGTCGCGGGGGAAGAGATTGCATTGATGCCCCAACACTTCGCTCGGTGAACGTCCCCTGTTGAGGAGGACCGCTGAAATCATCTGGAGACAACGAGAGAAACACACCTGTTTAGAGTTAGCTGACCTCTGACCTCAGAGTCACTGGACAGGAAGCAGGACAGAGGAGGTGAAGACAGGAAGTAAAAGATGAAGTGAAGTACCGAGCAGACTGAGGCTCCGTCTGGGTGGGGGTGGGGGAGTTGGGGGATGAAGACAGTTCCCACCTCTTCGAGAAATGTCCACATCAACCAGAGACACTGTCTCACCTGGAGACATGGTCAAACAGAGAGAAGAAGAAGAAGAGGAAGAAGATGTTAGAGAAGTGAAAGTGTGAAATATTAGTGTTGAGCAGAAGACAACTCGTCATCAATATCAGAGACGATCAAACACCTGAAATCAATAATCAGCTGATGTTGGCGATTAGATGCAGACCCAGCTGTTCTTGGACGAGACAGTCGACTTTTCTCTCTACTGCGCAGAAATATTCAGGACATAACGAGTCGGACTCAGACATCATGGCTGACACCAGTGTTATCGCCAATGAGCAGCAGAAGCTCATTAGACCCGAGTAGTTTGCCTCATGGTCCAGCAGAGGGCGCTTACTATCAGTGAAGTAATTAAATAATAATAACTTAATTTAAAAGCGACTTTCAAAACAGACATGTGCTTCATAAAGAATATAACAAATAAAAACAGGAACACAAAATAGACAGATAAAATAACACCAATTAAACTGAACGACAATAGAAAAGGATAAATGATAAAGAAGAAAAGTTTTTATTGGACGTTAACAAGTAAAGTCGTCCTGAGCCGAAGAATCGTTCCGCAGTAGACGACGAAAGTAACATGGCCATTTCTCAACTTGCTTGAAACACACAAAGACTTACCAGTGAACGCAGGAGTGAAGGTCACTGGAGAGAAGGCACTGTGGGGTCTGGACACCGGCAGCCTGTCGGACACACGGTGGAAATTTAAGGTGAATCTTCATCAGGCAATTTTTTTACCATAAAACAAAACAGGCGGAGATGTGATGATTGACAGCTGACACTAGGGCTGGGCGACATGGAACAAAATCACGATCATTTTCCCACATCAGTCGATATATAAATCAAATCTGCAACACGGAGGGACATGACCCCGCTGGACAAGTGACTGCTCCTCTGATGTTTTCTGATCATCAAACGTATGTGTGTGTCTCTGTCCCTCTTCACACACAAACTGATCGCCAAATTGAATATATATATTATATATTCTGAAACAGTTATTAATCAATGATGTCAGATCTTGACTCTGGATCGTTCTGCTCACTTTAACCCTGATGGCCTGACAGGGTCACGTTACATCTCGTGTTGGGTTTAAACATGTGTCTCAGGTTTAAACATGTGTCTCAGGTTCAAACATGTGTCTCAGGTTTAAACATGTGTCTCATAAACTCTAAAGAATCAAACAAACACAAAGTAAACGTCAGTCCTCTACGTGTCCTGACAACTTGTGATCAGTGCTGGTGTTGACAGTATTGTTATTATCACTGGATGAGAAAGACTCCTGATTGGCTGACAGGTTTAATTCAGAGTTCTTCAGTCCTACAAAGCTCGGTCGGTTGTTATCGGGGTCAATCACCATGGTAACGTATGATGAACAGCTAACCCGTACCAGGTTAAATTGGAGATAAGACCAATAACCACAGGGATTAATGTAATCATGTTAACAATCATCAAGCTGCTCTCAGATCAGTGTTAAATACAAAATAAAACAAACCTTCAAGACTGTTGTCATGCTGAGCATCCTCACTGCTCAGGAGACAATCCATTGATTCATAAAATAATTCATAGATCGGACTCAAAAAGACTTAATGTTTGAATAAATCAATATTTCAATGTTGACAACCGTCAAGTATGTGGACCATGAGAGTCCCCGTCCTGAAGTCCTCTCACCTGCTGCTGTCTTGCTCCGTATTGCTGCAGGTGGACCCCCACACGTCCAGCAGACTCCCCCCGGACGAGGTGGACGAGGCCAGCGATGGCCTCTTGTCCAGCAGTCCCCCTGACCCCCCGTTGGAACTCTTGGTTCTGAACAGCTTGCTGAGCCGGAACTTCAGGGACCCCCCTTTTCTCATCTTGCTCCTCGGTGTCTTTTCACCCTCTCTTCCTCCTCCTCCCACCTCCCCCTTCAGGACCACTAAAGGGGAGGCAGATCGCGCCCCCCCGCCAGAGGCCATGCTGAGTTTGGGGGTGGTGGTGCGGCTCTGGGGCTGGGAGCGGGATTGATGCTGATGCTGCGAGCAGTGGTTTGGGTCGGGGTTGGTGGACGGGAGTGGCTCAAGCCAGACTGGGAGACCACCGGGGGGGGCTGCAGTGGCCTGTGGGTGGTTGGGGGGGTAGGGACAGAGAGTGTCAGTGGTGCTGACGGCCAACGACGACCGGCAGTTCTGATCAGTGCACACCCCCGCCTCCTCCGCCAGTCTGTGGACCTGCCGCATCAGACCACTCAGAGTCCCACTGGAGAACACAGGCCCTGCCCCCCCAGGAATCCCACCACCACCAAGCCCCTCCACCTTCTCTCCTTTCTCAACACCTCCTCCCAGCACCCCCACCTCCTCAGAACCCAGACCTTCAAGGACCAGCAGGGCGTCACTGGTATCACTCGGGTCCTCGCCGGGTCCCATGCCGCCCGAACCCGAGGCTAAGACACTGTGACAGGAGCACCGAGGGAGTGGAGGCACCATGTCCTCTCCCCCGCCACCCTCCCTCCCCTCACCCAGATGACCCAGCCTCCGGGCCAGAGCCAGGACCGGGTCCCTTACCCCAGTGGTGCAGTTCTTCCTGGGCTCCAGCAGGCCCAGGTGCAAGGCTTGATCCAGCAGGCCCGGGGGCCATTTAGCGAGTCTGTCTGTCAGGAGGCGGTGTCGATGGCACAGGACCGACCCAGGCTCAGAGTCCAGAGCAGGGTTCCCCCGCTGAGGAGACCCATCAGAACCTTTGGACAGTTTGAGGACCGGGTGCCACTGCAGGAGCTGCGGCTGCAAGTTCTCCTCTGTGGATGGGATACAGTGTGAGTTCTGGTCCTTCCCACCTCCAGGCCCAGGACCGGCTGTTGTGCTACCGGGACCGGTTCCTGATCCGGAATCCTGCTGCTGTCTCTCCGCTTCCGCCTGGAGGAACCCCGGTGGCGGCTGCTCCAGCCCGCACTCCAGGATCCGGTCTCCGGCCCGCAGCAAGTTCTGAAACACCATCAGCTGTCCCCCCGAGCCGTGCGGCACCGGGAAGTCCACGAACCTTTGCGCCGCTATAGCAAAGTTCTCGGGCGGCGGAGGTGAGCGCGGCGCCTCGGAGCCCAGCGGAGCCTGCGTCAAAACCAGCCCGCCGTCCAGGTCGCCTTTTCGGGGGAGCGGCGAGCTGTAGTGCGGGGAGGCCGAGCCGAGGCCTGCCGAGGGACCACCGGGCTCCAGATCGAACCTGACGCCGTGGTGTCCCAGCGCCGCTTTAACGGGCCCGAACCCGCCGCCTCCAGAGATCAGGTCGTCGGGCTCGTCCAGCCGGTCGTACTCTGCCGCGGACACGAGCCTCATGAGGACAAAGTCCGGGGACATGTCCTGCTGCGCGTCGGTCATGTTGTCAGGCTAACGTTAGCTGCGCTTACATAACACCGACATGAATCAACGGCTACGGAGCTTACGGCGGCTAACGGCGGCATCCTCCCGCCGAGCGAACCGGGAGCCCGACGGAGCAGCGGCCGACGGCCATGTGACGTCCGGCCCGGTTGGTGACGGTAACGGCTCCGCGGAACGACGTCAGAACACGAACATGAGAATCCTGACCGGTGGCGCCGCTCGCTAACGTTAGCTAGCTGTTAGCTTCCTCCCGACTCAGCCACCGGTCAGACGGCACGGACGAGCTGGAGGGGGGGGCGCGCGGTGCCGGTGCGTAACGGCGCCATCATTACTCATCAGTGTTGATTGAACGGACGCGCGTGCACAAAGTGCACGGTAGACAGCTGAACGCGTCCCGGTACCGGAGACACGACCGGAAGTGTCTCTCAGCTGATCCTCAGTTATCAACATAAACAATCGATGATGAAAACATGAAACTTTTCAGTTATCAGGTTTAATTCTTCT